TCATTGAGTCCATGTGTGCCAGTCTATCCCCAAGTCCCTTACAGACATCACTGGGGGATATAGTAAGGGAGATTAAATAATTAACTGCTTAACACCACTTACTATGTTTATGAGAGCGGTGGGATTTATTTCTGTATAAAGCTTGAAGTTATACGTACAGGTGACAACGACTGACAGAGAAGGGAATATGAAGTATGAATGATTTTTCTATTTAACATTAATACAGAAATAAAGGTATTATTTCAGGTTCTGCACATAATCTAATCCCTTTCATCTCCTTCAATGCAGAATGTAATGGGATAGGAGGCAGATCAACTTTCACTCATTTCATTAATACAAAGGAACTTCATTCTTTGCACACATTTACTGCTTTAAAAACAAGCTGGAATAGGCCCCATGAATGTCTATCTCAGCCTTGTTTGATCTCCACAGGGCTAGAGTAGGTTCAGAGCAGTGTTATGTTATCGTATTTCATCAAATTAACATATGATATGTGTACTAGGAATGAAAATGAATGGATAAAGCAGTTTATTAGATGAGACAGATACACACACAAATAGTCACAATCACAATAAACAAATCCATCACATCTCTGTAAACATATCTGTGAACAACATTATTCAATAATTAACGGTCCATCTGGGGATCTCTTGTTGTTGCTGCCATGCTAACCATTACTCACTCAGATCTTAACCAAACCAAAAACCAATATTCAGATACATGGTTTATGGCTGTGGATCTTGCTTACTTGGGGCTATTTCAGGTTAGTAAGTAGACCTGCTATATGTTTCAGGCAACTTCTGTGCAAGTTAGTATATTTTTTCTTATCTACCACCTGGAAGTCCACTGGTGGTCCAAGACCTCACTCTCCACAGGTGGTCCTATGCCACACTCTCTACAGTTGGCCTGATGTCTCATTTATTTTCCTACTTCAGTGAATCACAGAAATGTACTGAACTTTTGTAGAGTTAAATAATAGTCATAAAAGTGTACCTTTTATTGACCTAATCTGACTGTTATTTATTTATTTTTTTTACTTTTTGTACTTATGAGAAGTTTGTTGTGATCACTACATTTTCCATCATGTAGTGATGGATTATATTAAGACCAGAGCAGACTTTCTGTGAAGGGAATTGTCATCAATTTTATTCCCAAGCTATGTCTAGAAAAAGCATAGAATTAAGTAAGGAATTGATCAGTGGTCATTGCACCTCTCAGAATGCCTCTCCATTGGAAATGTATTACTTCTAGATCAGGGTTAATCTGTGTAGAGTAAATATCTCATGCTGTAAAATCCTCAAAACACTATTTATCAGGTTTTTGTATACCCGTCCCCTCACCCTGCTTCTGATTCCACTCCTTAGCAATCATACTAAGTAGCTGGACTAGAAGTAGATGGAGCAGAAGGAAGTGGGCTGCTTTTGTGATAAGACTTATACGTTACGGCTGATGTTGTATCAAATTGTATGATGAAATGTATGCCGGACATATTGTATAAAACAAACAAGGAGAATACTTTGGCGCTGCCAACTAGAAACAGTTCAGGATTTTTGTGTGAGCATTGCTAACATTTTATTTTTCTGATTATACTCATAAATTATGACTATTTATTTTTTGTAGGATTTCCATGAATTTGCATCAAAATCACATTTTTTTAATCTCATGCAAATTGAAAACCATTGTCTATTGGCCAATATGGCACATCGTGCTGTTCTACCTTTTGCCGGCTTCCCTTTATGATCAACCAGGGTGCAGACTACATGGATCTGATTTAATCGGACATTCAGAGAATGGAGATCTGTTAATAGGTGCAGTGCTCCCCTTTCATATAGACAGATATGTGGATAGGAGTAAAATATTCTTTACAGAGCCTCCTCAAAATAAACCATGTACATTGTAAGTTTTATATGTCCTAGTATCATTTTTTTCACGATTTAATTTGTTCTGTATGTGTTTATTTTGCTAGTCTATAATACTGAATTCATTTTACACAGTTCTCCTGTTTTTTTCCAATTCTTATTCCTCAGTTTTCCCATTATATTTGATTATTTATAGATATAGGCATATTTTAATTGTTTATATGTATCTTATTTAACATAAAATGCTGTTTGCATACATTTATATCTTCTTCATCTTTTGGCTATCAAGTATTCCATCATTCTATTCATCTGCTCTTTCCTATACTACATCATAGCTCTTATGTTGATGATAATTTTGTGTTTTTCCCTAAAAATAAAAAAATAAAATTGTACCTAGGTTTAGATATCAACGATTTTTGCAGTTTTCTGCCATGAGATTTGCTTTATATAAGATCAACAGCCTCGACCTGCTCCCAAACCTAACATTAGGATTTCAAGTCTATGACTCATGTACAGGGCTTCATCAAGAGCTGGATGGTACCCTAAAAATGCTAACGGGTCAGAGGGAAGGAATCCCAAATTTCTCTTGCAAGAATCTGTCTCCTACAGTCTCAATTATTGGGCACTCAACCTCTACCTTCTCTATTATCAATGCCCACATGCTGGGATTATATGGATATCCTCAGGTAAGAAGTATAATGATAGCTTTGCATGGTTCTAAAGCTACGTATACTGTTTGTACTTGTTGGACTTGTTTTGTGTACACCGTAGAAAGGGATAGACTGACAGCCTTCTGGGCCCCTGGGCAAAATTACCTCTTGGACCCCTTGAAATATATATATAATGTTGGTTCTTGCACATACATGCACAAAGACAAGCTCACTACATAAATCTCACTACAGACAGCTCACACTAGCATACACAACAAGCTCATTACAGACAGCTCACTGATATGCACACAATGTCACTACCCACAAGCTCATTGTCACATTCACAAGCTCATTCACAGACACACAAGCACACTTCTAACAAATCACTACACATGAGCTCACCCACAGACATTCAAGCTCACTATAGAAAAAGCACTACACACAGCTCACTACAGAAATCTTACTGACACACATGCAAGCTCACTGACACACATACACAAGCTCACTAAACACAAGCTCACTGAAACACAGACAAGCTCAATTACACATTCACAAGCTCACTCACAGACACACAAGTTCACTACTGAAAAATCACTTCACACAGCTCACTACCGAAATCTCATTACACACAATCTCACTCACAGACATTCAAGCTCACTATAGAAATAATCACTACACACCGCTCACTACGCTCACTATGCACACCAAGCTCACAGCAGAAAGCTCATTGATACAAGCTCTAAACAAACCTCTAACTACACACAAAGTCACACAGTTCACGGGGACACACAAGCTCACTACAGAAAACCGACACACAGACAAAAGCTCACTACACCCAAGCTTACTGACATACACACACAAGCTCACACATCTCATTACCGACAGCTCACTCACATGCACACAATGTCACTACACACAAGCTCACTGACACAGTTCACTAAACACAAGCTATTTGACACACAAACACACATACACACAAGCTCACTAAACAGAAACTCACTGACACACACACAAGCTCACTAGACACAAGCTTACTGATACTCACAAGTTCACTAAACACAAGCTCTTTGACCCACAGACACAAGAGCACTACACACACAAGCTCACTAAACACAAGCTCACTAACACACGCAAGCTCACTAAACACATTTTTGACACACACACAAGTTCACTACACACACAAGCTCATTGACACACACACAAGCTCAGTGACACACATACAAGTTAACTAAACACAACATCTCTGGCACACACACAAGCTCACTGACACACACAAGCTCACTAAACACAAGCTCACCAAATACACTCAGGCTCACTAACACTCACACAAGCTCACTGACACACACTCAAGCTCATGAAACACAGACTCACTACACACATGCTCACTGACACACACACACACAAGCTCACTAAGCACAGACTCACTACACACACACACTCACTCAAACACACACACACACACAATCTCACTAAACACAAACTCACTAAACACAAGCTCACTACACACAGGCTGACTACACACAAGCTCACCGACACACATATGCTCACAACATGCATACAGAAGATCACTAGCACACAAGATCACACTGTCACTCCCCCTCTGCTGCTGTGGATGGAGAGCTGGATGCCTGGAACACAGGCTGTACCTTACAGCATGGACAGGTTGGAGCTGGGGGTGGAGCTTAGGTGTTGCTGGTTCTTGCAGCTTGTGCTGCACGTGGGGGAAGCTTACAGGGGCCCATAGGGGGTTTACCTTTGACTCCACAGAGGGGAGGGACTAAGGGAGGAGGAAATTCCCTCCTCTTCTACAAACATAGCGCTCTCCTGCTGGGGAAGTTTATCAGAGACCAGGTAAGGTGAGTTTCCTGCTGGTTTCACACTGCATTGCTGCCTTATTTAACACCGGGCTGGTTGGGGAGATCCTCTGATCTCCCCAGCCCAGCAACAGCAGCTCCAAGCCCCTGACTGCCACGGCCCTCAGTCCATGACCGCTGTACCGGAGTGATCAGTCTGTCCCTGAGCATCGAAGTCTATAAATAGAAAAATAGTTTAGATGAAATCTATGATATAGTACTTGATTTGGTCTCGAGACATTTTAGTCTATAAAGTTGCATTTTGTACACACTGTTTTTATATACAAACAATAAAAAATTGACAAAATGCACTTAAATCCGATTTTGATTTTTCACCTTAGATTAGTTACTTATCAACCAGCTCTATCCTGAGTGACAAAACACTATTCCCCTCATTCTTCAGGACTGTCCCAAGTGATGCCTTTCAATCCAAAGGTCTGGCACAACTTGTGTTATACTTTGGCTGAACCTGGGTTGGGTTGGTGGCTGTGGATGATGACTATGGGCGTCAAGGGATTCAGTTCATTAAGCAAGAACTCCTCAGGGGTGGAGCTTGTGTGGCATTTACAGAATATATATCACCAAATAATTTGGAACATATCTCCCATGTGACAAAAATCATCAAAGAATCCACCGCCATGGCTGTCATTTTGTTTGCCAAAGATACTGACAAAGTTGTCTTTATGGAAGAGATGTTGAGGCAAAATGTAACAGGTAAAATCTTTGTTGCCAGTGAAGCTTGGTCAATTTCAAACTTGTTTACAATGGCCAAATATTCTTCACTACTCTCTGGAACAATTGGATTCTCCTTTCATAGCTCAACAATCCCAGGATTTAGAGAATTTTTTAACAGTATTCAACCCTTTAGTACGAGACAGGATCCATGGACTAAAATATTCTGGGAAAAAGTGTTTGAGTGTAAATTTGTTGACCAAACAATTCTCACAGATTCATGGAATAAGTCAAGATTGTGTACAGGAAATGAGAGCATAGAAAGTATCCAGAATATTTTCTATGATATATCAAACATAAATGCTGCATACAACATTTACAATGCAATCCATGTCATAGCTCAATCGTTACGTGACATGCAAAGCTGCCAAGAGAACAAAGGACCATTTACTAATGGGAGTTGTTCGGACATCAGTTTTAAGCCATGGCAGGTAACGACCTCTCCAGGACTCAAATACCATGACCTAAATACAATATTTTATTATAAGCTTTTCAAGTGCAAAATAATAACCCCAACGAGAAAGTGTGAGTTAAAGCACTTTAAGTAAGTGTAATAGATTAACAGCAGCTCAAAACAACACTTGTGTGGGTATGCCTCCTTACCTCTACTCAAATATAGTACAATGTAAAAATATATGTGAAAAAAACTTTAAGAATATAGTTGAGTGCTATGAAATAATTGTCTTACTATTTGAAATTTTTTGAATAAGTGAGTAATTCACAATGAGAACTTGAAAGACACAAAACTGAAAAAGTGCAAATGTTAATACAAAAGTGGCAATATAAATGTGTTTAAAGCCACTCACATTGGTTAGAGCCTATATGATTGGCTCAATTCTCTGCACAATCATACTTTATTGTCAGCCCCACACCTATGTTCATAAAGAGTACAGAAAGATGATGGTAACCTTGTTCTGGCTGGCGATAGGAAGAGACGTTCTGCAAAAAGCCTTAATATCACTTCCAGAAGCTGCAAGTAAGGGCTAACATTCTTCAGGAATGCTCAGTGGTGGATTACCTCCATGTGACCCCAGAAGAGGTCACAAAAAAAAGATGGATTGTTGGGACAGAAGAACATTGAGGAAGCATAACAGAGAAACGTGTCTTAGTAAGGATTTTATCAGACTTTAATTAAGTGTATGCTTTTAATTTTATTATTATTATTATTATAGTCTAAAAAAATATTGGATTAGCACATGTGGTCTGTCAGCATAAATTCCATGTTTCAGGCAGCAGTAGAGGTCACCTTATTATTGGCACTATACTTTTCGGCCAGGGATGCATTGGGCCAGAGTCATAACTAGAAACCACGGGGCCCCGGTACAAAAATTGCCCTGCCTCCCCCCCTCTGTATGTCAACCCCCCTCCACCCTCCTCCCATACGTCTATCGTCCCCCACCCACATGTTAGCTCCTCACCCCACACATGCAAACAGATACACATGTAGACACACACATACAGACACAGACAAACATACACACACATACACACATACAGACACACAGTCATATACACAGACAGACACACATACATACAGACACACAGACAGACATACACACAGACAGACACAGAGACAGACATACATACACACACATACACACACACACAGACATACACACACACAAACATACAGACAGACATACAACACACACTCACATACAGACACACATACAGACAGACATACACACATACATACACTCACAGACATAAAGACAGACAGTCAGACACATACAGACACATAGACAGACATACACACACACACACGCACATACAGATACACACACACTCACATACAGACAGACATACACTCACATACAGACACACATACCTTTCCCTGGGGTCCAGTGGTGGCTCAGGCTGATGGGAGTCAGAGTTCCCAGTCTGACTCCCCCTCCTTCAACCCGCGTGGCTCCCAGTGGTTGTTGGGAGGAAGTGACCGGGGAAGTCACTTCCTCCCAGTCTATGACATCATCAGAGGGGGTCCGGTCGCACTGTTAACGCGCTGATTGGGCCCCCTGGAATTACATAGCATCGGGTGACCCGAATAGCATGGGCACCCGATGGGCCCCTTCAATGCTACTCCGGAGGTTATACCGTGCAGGCAGAGGCCACATTACTCAGATGGCGGGACCCGCAGTCACAGGGGTCTGCAGGGCGGCTGGGCTTCCTGAAGTGAGGGGCCCGGTCGCAGCTGCGACCCCTGCGACCGCGGTAGTTCTGCCACTGCATTGGGCTCTGAATAAGGTGGGGTTTATACTAATTACCACCTAAAACCAAAATCTAATTCCTACTACACTATTGGTACCCCTTCTGTGTCTTGTGTTTTGTGAGATTTGGGAGTGACTTTTTGAAGATAGGATGGTTGTGCCAAAAAAACACAATTGTATAGAGGATTAAGCCAACCATATTGGCTCTAATCAATGTGAGTGGATTTATACACATTTACATTGCCACTATTATTACCAGTATTACCATTTGCACTATTTGCTTTTTTTTTTTTATTATGAATTACCCACTTACCCAAAACTTGCAAGACAATTATTTTTTAGTGTTCAACTATATTCTTAAGGTGTTTTTCACTTGCAAGATATTTTTTACAAGCTTTTCAAATTATTTCATATTTTTGGATAAATGTTTTTATTATTTTTTCAAATTATTAAAATATCCTGGAATATCAAAATATGAAAATATATTTTTTTTAAATATTAATTAGTTTGATAATGTATCAAAAAACATTAAATCGAGGATTATGTATGTAGCAGAATGCACACAACCCTTGATTTTATATTTTTGGATAACAAATAATGTAATCATCATGGAAGCTCCCATGTCATAGCCTCCTAGAGAGGCTTGAAGGCTAGCCTCATGCCCACAGACCATGGACCCCATCACTATCTTTAAAATGATGTATAGCATGTCGGAGTACATTGTGTTATTGTTGAGTTATTCTGTAAAAGGTTGAACTGGATTAAAGCTATTGTGTTAATTATTAGATTGTGGAATGCATCATGGTGTCCAGCTGATAATTACATTATCATGTCTTAACCTAACTATATCCCAGACACCAAGACAATAGAGAGTGGTTTGCATTGTTCTGGCTAAAGACAACCTGTTGTGTGCAGTGGTATGAATACATAAACAGTTCTCTTATTTTACCCAACACAACCAGTCCTGTCCACAATACTGGGGAATTGTACAAGGTTCAAGAGAGAAAAAAAAAATCACTTTTCCTGTAGTTTATAATCACTGTATGCTGTAGCTGAATCCAGGACCTGCAGAGGATTGCAGAAGCGGCAACCAAGGACCTAAGGGATTTTCCTACCTGTGACAGTAATATTTTTGGATAAATGTTTACAATGATTGCTTTTTTCAAAATATTAAAATATCAGAAAACACATGATATTTATATTAAAAAAGTATCAATACATAAAAATGTATCAAATTATTACAACTTTAAAGTATTTTCGTAATATTAAATCATTTTAAAATGTTATCCCAAAATATCAAATCGTTTAAAAGGCTTATTAAACTATAAAAAAGTAGGTTATGCGCTCACTCGGTAACCAAATGTGAGGCAGCAGTGAACCAGCAGGATTTCCCAATACCTGCTTATAGTGGACTGACATGTAAAATAGATAAAGTGGTAAACCGTGCCAAAAAGTGCTCAAAAGTGCAAAATAAATCTGTTATACATACATATTAATCTTGGCTAATATAGCATGGTAAAATCCTCAGGGGAAACATCCAGTATGTTGCCAAATCCTGTACATTCCATCTTAAGAACATAGCCTGCATCTGGTTCTTTCTTACACAAGATGCTACCAAGGAGCTTATCCATGCTCTAGTAATTTCCTGCATGGATTTTTGTAACCCTCTCCTAATTGGTCCTCCCAAAAGCCATATTGCCCCGCTACAGTCTGTAATGAATGCTGCCACCAGACTGATTTTCCTCTCTAGTCGGTCCTCTCACAATTCACCCCTCTGTCAATCCTTACATTGGCTTCCTGTATCCTATAGAAGTCAATTTAAAGCGCGAACTCATACCTATAAGGCACTGGACAACTCTATCCCTCTTATATCTCATATCTGATAATCCACCTCACAGGTGTGGCATATCAAGATGCTGATAAGACAGCATGATTATTGCACAGGTGTGCCTTAAACTGGCCACAATAAAAGGCCACTCTAAAATGTGCAGTTTTATCTCTAATCTCTCTCCTTCCCCTACCAATACTCTCTCCAATCCCACTTGCTCCACTGTTCTATGCTCATTAGCACCCACAACACTGGAAGACGTATTTGCTCTTCTTTGGTCTTCTCAACCCACCACCTGTTTCCTCGATCCTATTCCCTCATATCTCATCTACACCCTATCTTGTTCTCTTGCTCTGCTTCTCACTATAATTTTCAATATCTCCTTCACAGCCTCTAAAGTGCTAGTATTTTATGTTTTTCTTTAGTTTGTAACTACATTTTAGAAAATGGAGGTTTTGGGGGCTTTTGTCTATCTGTTTGTTTGTTTGTTTTTTAATTGTACTTTAGTGTGGTTATAGTTTCTAGTGATAATTGTATAGTTCATTGTTCATGCTTGTAAATATGACTTTATTTTCAGTATCAGGTTGGAGCACACTTGTTAAATTAGGCTACGTATATACTTAGAAAATAGTTATTATCCAGAAAACTTTACACAGTGATTAATCATAGGTAGGGTTGCAGACAAAGGGAATTTATAATTAAAGTCTATGGTACATATGTCATCTCAATAAAATCCATGAATGATACTGTTGGTACCCTTTATCTGGTTCACAGCTGTCTCACTACATCCAGAATGTTAAAGTGAAACTAAGTAATGGAAGAGAATTGTTCTTTGACCAAAATGGAGACCCACCTGCTGTGTATGATATAATAAACTGGCACATGAATACAGATGGCACAACGAGACATGTGAAAGTGGGCAGCTATGATACTACTCAGGCCAACGGGAACAGCTTTCTTATCAATACAAGTGCGCTGATATGGGCATCTGGCCAACAACAGGTAAAAAAAAATAATTAAATTCTCAATATTAATAAATCACTATAATCATCTACGGCCCTTTGCAATGGGCAACCATAAAACAGAACTAGAAGGTGACAGCTTTATACATACGGGACTGAGATTAAAAACTGAGAGTCGTGTTCGTTGAGCCTTTGGTGTAACGAGCCTGAGGATTCTTCAATAGAGGTGTATTTACATATTATTAACGTACAGATGATGCCATACATAGGTTAAATTACAATCCAGAGTTCGTAAAGGATCGTTAACAATGCTTGACATTTGTTTGGAATTGTGAGACAGGTTTTAAAGAGGTTACAAAAATCAAGGACCATTAGCCTATCATTTTACTGTTTATTGTGAGATATGGGTCACTTTTTCACTATTTTTACTCTTATAGACCTTGTAAATATCTTTAATACACACACATCTAGTGTTAGAATTTAATAATAAAAAATAATCTATTCAAATTACTACTTTGATCAAATTTTACCAAAATTTACCAATATGGGATAAAAAGAAGCTACTATCTGAATAATGTTACTAATGTATGTTTGTAAAGCTTGAGGCATCAGAAGACTATTTTATGACAATACCATGACTATTTAATTCCTGGTAGCTTCCTGAGCAACATTAGTCCTGGTCTCCTCTTCTCCTATCACTTGTATCTCACTCCCCTACCTATGATCTCCCATACACCACAATGTGCAAACTTTGACAAAAAAATATAAAATATTTAACTTATAAAAAGGGCAACCCACTTCTCACCAGCAAATATATGTATACAAATTGGGATGCTGTATCTTATTTTTTTTTATACATATATTGGCTTATGGTCTCCCATGACTTACTGGGAAAGATGAATGTGAGTACAGTTTTTGCAAGATGTTCATGTTTGATTTCCACATGAAATTTTCTGTCATAACCAATGTGATAGCATTAAATATGTAAGTGACACCCACATTTTTCCATCAAATTTTCAGCAATGTTTTTGATAATTTTTGTCTCTGTGTATAAAATCTGTAGGAATTTTTTCATTTGTTGCTTTTTTTCGCTTATCATTTTAGAATATAAACAATTTTTTTATTTGTGGCATAAACGATCTATGATTATTTCTACTGCTTTTATAAATACAATCAAAATAATGACAAAATGCAACCAGCATGTTTTTAAATCATTTAATTATAAATTGTCCCTTTCAACCCCCTAGAAAAAATCACTAACAAATAAAAATATCCAAATTCAGTAGGAATTCCCTGGAACAAAGATGATGGACAATAATGGCTTAATAAGGACCCTGTCAAATTATTACACCTTCTCACAAGGTCCAATTGAAGAGCCAACTGACCAGCAAAACAAGTGTCAAAGAGCCTGTTGTAACAACAAGCCCAGTATGCCTACAAAAGGACAAATGGATTATACAGCCTGTGACGAAGTGTCCTTCGCCACTTGGTCCTGGAGAGGCCTTCTTGCCAGTCTCCTCCCCTGCGACTATGACTCTTTCATCTATCTGGCTTTAAAGCCCCTAGTCTACCTTCAGACAGACTATTTATGTGGGCTGCTTTATTTATCCTATGTTTTAGTCACCCTGTACCCATTATAGGTGCAGGGTGTGTGTAATGTAATTGTTTATAGTGTGTGTGTGTGTGTACTGTGTAATGTATTGCCTGCTCTCTTGTATTGCTGAGGTTTGCTACCAACTAGGTGGGTTTGGCTATGGAGCTGGTCTAGTGCCCTCTGTTGGTAGCAACAGCAATATGCACTACCTGAATTGCAAGACTGGTTCATTTGCATATTCGGGTAGATTTGCATATTGCTAATTCTGCAGGCAGGTGAGATATTTACTGTTAAATATTGTCTCCTCCCACCCCTTTAAAAATGTGCCATTGTGTTGTGATAAGTCACTGTGTGTTTCTTGATATGGTTTGACTGTTTGTGATTTTATTGAGGTTTCACAACAATGTTATTGTGGTGACTGGATTGGCTGGTCCCAAGGGAATAAAGGTTTTGACAGTTCTTCTTGACCCTTCAAAATGTAGCCTTGTCTCGTTCTTGAAAGGGGAATCTCTACAGCTTAATCACTTAGCTCTTTTCAGAGCTGCACCTGGTTTCCACTCCTGATCCAGCAGAAGGGAATAGGCGACTCCATCACTACACAGCGACTGCCAGGAAGAAAAGGACGTCCCTAACGGCTGGTACCATCTCTACACCAGGGTAGCCGTTACACCTGTGTTATACTCTGATCCATATTATTTAATTACTTCCTAGACTTTCTTTTTACCTGCGCCTTTTGTTTTTAGAAACTAATTATTTTCATTGGATATAATGCTAGTTACATAGTTACATAGTTACATAGCTGAAAAGAGACTTGCGTCCATCAAGTTCAGCCTTCCTCAGAAATGTTGTTGCTGTTGATCCAAAAGAAGGCAAAAAACCTGGTCTGAAGCACTTCCAATTTTGCCACAAACTAGGAAAAATTCCTTCTTGACCCCAAAATAGCAGTCAGATGTCTCCTTGGATCAATCAGCTATTACCCACTAATTAGAAATTATATCCCTGTATGTTATGTTTTTGTAAGTATTTATCCAATTTCAGTTTAAACATCTGTATGGACTCTGACAAAACCACCTCTTCAGGCAGAGAATTGCATATCCTTATTGTTCTTACTGTAAAAAAAGTTATGAAAGGGTTTAGTTAATTTTCATGACTTGACGTGTGGACACGAACAGATGGATAGAAGTAGCTGCCCATGAAGGCACAGTAGTGAAAGAGCAAATGTATTAGACAATGAGTTTAGATTAATATTGATAAAGGGCTATATATAGATTTTCTCAACCTTCCTGAGTGGTGTACATTTTTGTCTAGTCCTCATTCTTGGATCCCCTACTAGAGGCCTGGGAGTCTGAGGGTTCTGTGCAGTATTTTATCGGTTCCTAGAACTGCAGTCTTCTGGACAGCAATCCCAGCTGTCCACGTCTATTAATCTGGTGCTATGTTTTGTTACTATGATGCTAGGATTAGTGCTTCAGGGCTGTCACTCTGTCCAACCACTGATAGGATATCGCAATGTGAGCCACATCCACTATCTGCTGGAGGTACAACCCGTGGAGAGGCATGTCTTGCCATGGAACCTTCTCTTTTCCTGTATCCTATATCTGTGGTTGTCTCAGGCATTCCTTTAGCAGTCCATGTTTGGGAGCCATCTTCATGATGTACTTGTGGATGCACTGTGTTTCATCTGGGACTCTACCCTTGACACTCATCAGGCACAGACCTCCTTCCTTCCGGCTGGTGTTCAGTCTCTGAGTGTTTGATTCCAGGTGGAATTCTCAATTTGTTTCAAATATTTGGACACTGACACAATTTTCATAATTTTTCTTTGGTTCTGTATGCCACCACAATGGATTTGAAATGAAACAGCCAAGATGCAACTGAAGTGCAGAATTTCAGCTTTAATTCAAGGGGTTGAACAAAAATATTGCATGAAACGTTTATTCCATGGGGACAAATGTAATTAGACAAATTAACACAATCATACATAAAATGTCAATCTTTAATACTTTTTCAAGAATCCTTTTAAGGCAATGACTGCTTGAACCCTGCAATGCATAGACATGACTAAACAGCTTTGTGATGCTTTTCCAGGTCTTTGCTGCAGTTTTCTTCAGTTGTTGTTCAAGGGTTTTTCTGCCTTACGTTTTGACTTCAGCAAGTGAAATGCATGCTCGATCTGCTTGAGATCATGTGATTAACTTAGCCATTGCAGATTATTTAACTTCTTTGCCTTAAAAAAACATGGGTTGATTTTACAGTATGTTTTGAGTCATTGTCCATCTGTAAAGTGAAGGACCATCCATCCAACTTTGCTGAATTTGGCTGAATCTCAGCAGACAATATATCTCTACACACACTTCAGAGTTTATCAGGCTGTTTCTGTCACATCATCAATAAACACTAGTGAGCCAGTGCCATTGGAAGCCATGCATACCTATGACATCACACTGTCTCCACCCTGTTTCACAGATTACAGTGGTATGATTTGGATCACAAGCCTTCTCCATACTTTTTTTTCCAGTCATTCCAGTACAGTGTAAACTTAATTGTATCTGTCCAAAGAATGCTGTTCCCGAACTTGGCTTTCTTCTTTAACTGTTTTTTTTTACAAAGTCTAATCTGTCCTTTCTACTCCTCTACTAAAAGCTTACGAGTAGCTTGCACCTTGTGGTGCACCCTCTATATTTGCTCTGATGATGCCTTTTCTTTATATATTTTAAATGATATGCTTACCCCCTAGAGAGTGCTCTTCACTTGGCTGGATGTTATGAAGAGGTTTTTCTTTACCATCCTACAGTCATCCACCACTATTGTTTTCCATGGATGTTCGTGCCTTTGCGTTGCAGAGCTCATCAGTGTGTTATTTTTTTTATCAGAATGTACCAACCTGTTGATCTGGCCACTTGTAATGTTCATGCTATCTCTCTGATTGATTTTTTTTTCATTTTTTTTCTAATAAGTTATTTATGTAAGAAATAATGGATTGCTGTGTTTTTATCCTGCAGGTACCTGTCTCTGTCTGTACCCAAAGTTGTCTTGTTGGTTTTAGAAAGGTGTTACGGAGGGATTTGCCTGTCTGTTGTTTTGAATGTATTCTCTGTCCTCTGGGCCAGATTTCTAACAAGACAGGTAAGTGTATTCAAGGGAACATTATTAATTCAGTTTATGGAGTGACAACATTTTTGAAATACTGACTATCATCATGCCTTGTTATTTAGGTACAAATTAAAAAAATTAAATAAATTGACATGCTTGCCGCAATGTATTTGGGTTCTGTGGAGTAGTGGTGGGCTTAGCATAATATGGTGGAACTGAATCCTAATATATGTTATACTGAGATAGGTGATGCAAGGAAACCTGGTATATCCAATACCCATTCGGTAGTTTCTTCCTGAACGGCCAGAGTAGTAGTGAATTATAACTCTCCATTCAACGAAATAAAATAAGTAATTCCCATATGAACAACAGCTTCCCAAGTAGATTCCCTTAGTACTTACGTACTTACGTACCACGGTCGCAGGGGTCGCAACTGCAACCGGGCCTGGCCCACCAGAGGGCCCGGCCGCCCTGCGACCCAGTATGTATGCCAGTTTGCCAGCCTATTCTCCTGGGGGGGCCCAGGAGCTGGCCACCTTTAGGGCCCCCCCGAGGCTGGCAATGGTGTCACTGGATGTGCAAGGGAGCATTCTCTCCCTTGCGTGCACCGCACTGATGCCGGAGCAAGAATATGATGTCGTTCTGGCTCCGGCATCAGTAAGTGGACGCCACTGGATGAAGGGTATAAGAGAACTGAAGTTTAATGATGCCACACTGGCTTTTATGCAATACCTCCTAGACCTGGAGATAATTAAGGCTGATAAAGTACTAACTTCATTATCTCCAGGCAGAAAAATCACAATTTTCCCCAACTTTTAGAACACCCCTTAAAACATAAGGTATCCCCACAAAAGTCATATCCCCCAATAGCCCTGATCTGGGTGACCAACATATTCAAAAATCACCTGAATTTCATGGATGTCTTAGTTGACCGGTTACCCACGAGGCTCCGGACAGTTCCACAAGTTTTAGTGGTTTTGCCGGACTTATTCAAAAAGTCTTAAAAAGTGAATAAATCCACGAACAGTTCCCCCTGGCTCCTAGCAGCGATTGTTCCCCTCATTCGAATGCACAAAAGTACCGAACAGTGCTCTTATTGCTGTTTGGGAAATGAAGATCCAGCGTTCGTGTGTGTTGGAACGTGTTCGGGAAGTCGAGTGTCCGATTTTAGTTCCAGACACTTTGTTCGCACAAACAAGATGGCCGCTCTTTTCTCAGCCACGTGGCATGCGACAATATGAACGGTGGCCGCACAGGGAGAGGGCTTAATTGAGGTACGCTTTGAAGTTAACGAGCCAGGGTGGTGGTCTCTGTTCGGTAGTTACAGCTACCGATCGAAGGGAAATAAAATAAACAAAATAACTTAGTGATTTCTTCACAGGTGAGTTTAAGTAGCCTTATAAAATTTAAGATTGTATTTTAATGTGTGAGTTGTTCTTTCATCTGTGTATTGTACAAAGGTTGGTCTTTACAACAGCGGCATTCATGAGAAATGCATGTTCTGTGCGTGACCCCAATTCCCCTTTTCTCTTTACTATATAACTTTGGTGTGCAGACCAGATTCTCTTTAGAATGAGCAACCTGCCCCAATCCCCCCCCCCCCAGCTTCAGATGCCCCTTTGGAGGTGACCACAGGAAAGTATGAATTTCAGGTGGTTTTGAAAAATGATGTCACTTTAATTATAATTTTCATTTGGGTTAGAGCAGAAATATAAAAAAAGTAAAAAGGTAAACAGTAAAAAGTCATAATAATAAATAATAAAGTGGGCTGCTACCAGGGGCGGACTGAGCACTCGGGCAAATCGGTCCTGGACCGAGGGCCCGAGGCTCTGGGGGCCCGCCCCTGCTGCAGTGCAGTAATGGCTGAGCTGGGGAGTAAAACAATCTCCCCAGCCAGCCTGCACTCAGTAAGGGGCCCGCACAGCCTTCCGCGGGCCCCTGCTGCTAAAAATATAATCCCCCGTGCAGGGGACACTGAGAGACAGCTATAGGGCCTTCCAAAGACCCCCCCCAGGCTGCCCCTCAGTGTGCCTGTCTCCAAACACAGCCTCACTGAGCTGCCTGTAACACTGCTCAGGGCAGCTCTGTGCGGCTTGTTCTGCAGGAAGTGACATCAGCAGTCACAGTGCAGAGTGAGGAGCTGCCCTGAGCAGAGTTACAGGCAGCATGTCAGCATTGTGTGCCCTCCTTCAGAAGAGGACCACCAGAGAGGTAAGGTTTGGGAGGGGGGGCTTTATTTTTTTTTTTTATTAAAATGTTTTATTATATAATTTCCCCCACTACTGCCCCATCAGAGCCCATACCCCCCTTACTCCCAGTGCATGCATCCCCCTACCCCCCCTCTCCCACTGCATCCCCCTACCCCCCTCCCACCCTACCCCCACTGCATCTTCTACCCCCCACTGCATCTCCTACCCCCCCCTGCATCCCCCTGCCCCAATGCATCCCCTACCCCCTTGCTCCCACTGCATCCCCACCCCCTCCCACTGCATCCCCTCCTCCCTGCTCACTGCATCCCTCCCCTCCCATGCAGCCCCCACCCCCCACTGCATCTCCCCTCCCCCTCCCCCCAATGCATCCCCTACCCCCTTGCTCCCACTGCATCCCCTACCCCCCTCCCACTGCATCCCCTCCCTGCTCCCACTGCTCCCCCCTCCCACTGCAACCCCTACCCCCACTGCATCTCCCCCCCTGCATCCCTACCCCAATGCATCCCCCTACCCCTGCTCCTGCATCCCTACTTGCTGCTCCCACTGCATCCCCTCCCCACCCTCCTGCATCCCTAGCCCCCTCCACTGCATCCCCCCCTGCTCCCAGTGCATCCCCCTCCCTGCATACCCTACCCCACCCACTGCATCCCCTGCCCCCGGCTCACTGCACCCCTCAGCCCGGCTCCCAGTGCATCCGTGCCTGCTCAGTGCATCCCCTCCCCCCTGCTCCCAGTGCATCCCGTACACCCTGCTCCCACTGCATCCCCTACCTGCTCCCACTGCATCCCCTACCCCCTGCTCCCCTACTGCATCCCGTACCCCTACTGCTCCCACTGCAGCTTTTACCTGCTGCTCCCACTGCAGCTCCTACCCCCTGCACTGTGCGCAATAGTAGGGTTTCGCTTTTGGTAGTGGCTAGTGGGCTACCCAACTGCTCCCACTGCATCTCCTATTACCCTTTGCACCCACTACAGTCTGTCCCTCCTCTGCACCTACTACAGCCTCTAATCCACCCTATTCCCCCATATCCTCTACAGTCCCTCCCCTGCAGCCCCTTCCACTCGCACCCTTTACAGCCCCTTCCTTTCGGCACCCTCTGCAGTCCCTACCCCTTTGCACGCACAAACATAAAGGGACACTATAGTTACCAGAACAACTACAGCTTAATTTATATTATACAGCTTAATGTATAGTAACAGCTTAATGTTTATTATATAGCTTAATGTAGTTGTTCTGGTGAGGATAGTATACTACTGCAGGGTTTTTGCTGTAAAGACTGCCTTTTCAGAGAAAATGCAGTGTTTACATTGCTTCCTAGGAACACCTAGGCGCTTCCTGTGTCAGTATTGCAAAATGTGCAGCACTGACATTCAGCATCTCCATGATCTGCATGTCGACGCTGAACGCTTGTCATAGAGAAGCACTGATTCAATGCATCTCTATGATGGTGATTGGCACAGCGTTTTGCTGTGCGTGCACAATAGCCTTCTAGTACTTTCCTATGGTAGAGCATTGGGTTGGCTGAGATCATCTAAATTGATGAACTCTGCCAAGGAGTTTGGTCGGTGCTGGGAAACAGGTGAGTAAATCGCATTTTTAAGGGGGGAATACACATTTGTATTCCTGACACTATAGTGTTCCTTTAAAGGGACACTCCAGGCACCCAGACCACTTCTGCCCATTGGAGTGGTCTGGGTGCCAACTCCCACTACCCTTAACCCTGCAAGTGTAGTCATTGCAGTTTTTATAAACTGCAATAATTACCTTGCAGGGTTAACTCTTCCTCTAGTGGCTGTATACTAGACAGCCACCAGAGGACACTTCCTGGTCTATAGCACAGGATTTCTGTGCTATAGTGTCGCTGGACGTCCTCACGCTGTGTGAGGACCTCCAGCGTCGCTAAAATTCCCATAGGAAAGCATTGAAAAGCATTTTCAATGCTTTCCTATGCAGAGGTCTAATGCGCCTGCGCGGCATTGCCGCGCATGCGTATTAGGTCTCCCCCGACGGCTGACGTGAAGGGGAGGAGCATGAGCGGAGGAAGAAGCAGCGACGTGGGACATGTCGCTGCCTCTGGTAAGTCACTGAAGGGGTTTTCACCCCTTCAGCAACCGGGGATGGAAGGTGGGAGGGAGAGGGGACCTGCAGTGCCAGGAAAACGGATTGTTTTCCTGGCACTGGAGAGTCCCTTTAAGGTGGCTCGTAACATTTAACACTTGGTTTCACAAATACTCCCTTTTACATACTGCCATGCTACACAAACACACACAAAAAATACTACCCTATTCACAAAACCAAAAACATGTATTCAAATATACTAATAATCCACATATCCTGACACTACACACAAAGACATACATATATTCACTTACACTAGCGCTCACAGTGAATATACACACAGAAACATGCATTCACTTTACATGTACATACAATCAAATATACGGTACACCTATACCAGCATATATATCGGTCTGCTGGGGGCCCAGGTGCTAATTTTGCCCGGGGGCCCAGGCCACTGTCAGTCCGTCCCTGGCTGCTACATACGTATGTAAGACCGAAAATTTCCATGAAATACTCAGGACTAGTATGTGCACTCCTTATTAATATTGCTCATATATAAAAATGAACAATTACAAGCAATGTCTCTCAAAAGACATATATTTAATAAAGAATAATTAAAAACAGTGATTTGAACACTATACAGACTGAATGACCAGTATTGAAATGCACCCTAAATACACTGGATAATATAGACAATAATGTGGTACTCACAGCTGGAAATCACTTACCCCCCCCCCTTTTGCTGCAGCAGGAGATAGGACAGAGAAAAATAAAAATAGGACTGCCGATGAAAATGCTGACCGTTACTGAGCACTCAGCTCAGCCATGGAGGATTGACAGACCACTGGCAGCTGTGTGATGTTGCAGGAACATGGAGAAGGTGCTGGCTGATGGAATCCTAGTTCAGTATACACCGTGGTCGGAATCTTCAAAAAAGACCACGGTGTGGAATACCTCAGTCTCTCTGTAGATGATGAGAACACTGGAGACACCTTATACGTGATGTTGAGCAGAAATATGATATGCATTGTGAGTACAGGGTGGCCCGTAAGTCCCTACACAGCCATATATCTTATGTATCCAGTGTATCTGTGCGCTGAATGGGTAGGGAGTTATGGGCCACCCTGTATATACATCAAAGTACTATCACATTCATTGTTTAGTTTTGACACTGCATTTTTTTGAATTGTGTTTATCACAATCATCTTGCATTTTATATATCCACAATGCAATTGGCAACAGATTATTTAAATACACTTTATCTCATTTAGCACTAGAGCTATTTACTTTGTCTCCCACCTTGGAATTAAATTAGGACCCACTGATAACAAGGTACTGTGGAGTAGTGGTGGATTTAAAATAATATGGCCATATGGTGGAACTGAATCTCCCTGTTTGTTTGCTGACATTTGTGATTTTAAGTAGCTTTAGAAAATGTAAAACTATATTTCTATGTGTGTGCTGTTCCTTATTGTTTATTTTGAACAAATTTTGGACTCTACGGCAGCACCATTGCGGAGAAATGCATGTTCTGGGTGTGACCCAAATTCACTTTTTTCCTTAAAATGCTTGTTCCAAAGTCTAATCTAAATCATATTTTATAGATAAAAAATAAGATACAAAAAATTAAAAGCAGTTTTACAAAGACATTTAAATGATAACAATAAGTAAAACATGAAAAAGTTGGCACCATAAATTGGGCCCGAAGGAAGATGGCACTCTATTCTTCAAAGCAATGATTACAAACACAGGGGTCCTCACTATCACATGGCCGGAATAGCCGGCTTGCGCAGTGCCTGCAGGGGGCCTGTCTGAGCTCTCATTCCTGGGCTGCCATAGGGTCTCAAAGGCAACATAGGCCCAGCAAACCAATCTGGCAATTTTCAATGTGCAAACATGGAAAAGAGGAAAGCCCTAAATTTGACCCCTGTAGGTTTGCAAAAACCCATACAACCTGTACATTGGGGGCTCTGTTATACTCAGGAGATGTTGCTGAACACATATTGGGGTGTTCTTTGTCTGTAACACATAACAGGAACTGAGGAGAAAATTTAGAAACTATTTAGCATTGATGTTTTTGGCAGTTGTAGATGCATAACAATTTTTGGGGGTCAAAGTTTGAAAAAGTGTGTTTCTTTACATTTTTTCATCATATATTATAATTGTTTTTATAGTAAATTATAAGATATGATGAAAATAATGGTATCTTTAGGTAGACCATTTAATGGCGGGAAACACGGTATATAATATGTGTGGGTACAGTAAACGAGTAAGAGGAAAATTACAGCTAAACACAAACACCACAGAAATGTAAAAACAGCCCTGGTCCTTAACAGTAAGAAAACTGAAAAAAAAACGTTCTGGTCGCTATAGGGTTAATGAACTGGCAAACAAGAAGGGGTGAGGCTCAACTAAATAGGGAGAAGATACTTACAAATTAAGGCCAGCTGGGAACAGAGAGAAATCTGTCATGGGGCAGCAAGGAATGTAAGAGATATGAATGAAAACCGAAAAATGAGTTTAGATTAAATGAGATCAGGACAGGATAAGGTATGAAATGGGGCATTTTTGTAAAAGGTAAAGGTCATTCGGGCAGGTTCCTCAGTAACTTCTTGTCTACTGTTATTATTTGTTATACTTTGTGTCTGGAATAAATGAGGGGATTAAAAAGAAAAAAATAAATAGTAGTAAAATATATGAAAGAGAGTGATGCGTGAAATGAGAGTACAAATATAACCACAGTATGTGTTCTGTGTGAAATTAGTGTGAGGTGTATTTTTACACTGACTGCAGTGCAGTATGTTCCCTAACTACTATGTGTACATTTATGTTTGTACCTCCCAGCTAATATTGACCTTTAACCCATTAAGGACGGCGGGCATGCTATGCTAGGCTCTAAACGCCGGCAGGCGGCATAGCACGTCCCCGCCGATCCCACACCGGCGATCGCAGTGGGGGGAGTCTCCTGGCATCCCAGGGAGTGCCCCTGCTACCATTCCGGCCCTCTTGGGCCATGTGATCACAAGGTCCTTGCGAGGACCTCATGATCACATGGATGGCATAACTGTCCATAGTAGTGCCAGCAGGGGGAGTGCCTGTAATGACAGGTATTCCCCCCGCTGCCTGAAATAAAATAAAAAAGTTTAAAACTGTGTGAAATTAAATTATATTAACTTAGATCATATATATTTGATATATATATTATCTAAGTATAAATATACACCTACACAGACATACACATACACTGTCTAAATGTATTTTAATATTAATTATATATGTAATCAAAATACACATAGAATGATATTGATTAAATATATAATTATAATTATATACATAATTATATATAATATAAAATAAATAAATATGTAAATACGTAAAAAAAAAATAATACTAATACATAAATATATATATATCTTGATATCTTGACAAAGACCTCCTGGGTCGAAATGTTGATCACTTTGAACCTTTATAAAATCTATTGAACAAATCCTCTGGAGTGCTCTCTTCATTGTCTTGCATATATATATATATATGTGTGTGTAATTTCGTTCTAACTGTATTTTGATATTAATATATATATATATATATATATATATATATATATATATATATATAGATATAAAAATATACGTAGAACAGAATAATATATATATCTATCTATATATATAAGTATATACGTATATATCACTATATATACCTATATATAAATAAAAAAAATATATACACATGTATATAATAATTCTATGTTTATATTTATGTAATGATTTTAAGTAATTAGGTCATTTTATTAATTAAAATCTGCGGGACATGCCTGACAACCCAGGCCGAAAGTCCAGGGAATTTAATTTGCTAGCACTATATTTAACCCTGTATCTTATATATATATCTATATAATTGTTGTGATACGTTTTATTGTTTCGGAACACTAATATTTGTGTTCAGCAAAATCTCCCGAGTGACACCCCTCCCTGTCACAGGTGCCTCACCCTTAGCCTTGTACTGCAGAGAGCCCCAGATGGAATTTGTTCCCCAAGTAAGTGGGTTAATCTCATAAGAGCAGACATTAGGCTGTTAGTGTAGGACCTGCCAAAGATGGGGTACATTGACGTTGTGGCAGGCTTATGCAATGTTTGATCATACAATGTAACTAAACCCCCATTATTTTTGCCTACATTAGGTGTTTTAAAAAAAAAAAAAAAAACTAATAAAATCTGTCAACATTGAAGTTGCTGTTTAGTAGATAATTGAGTGTGCTGGATCTTGTTAATATATATATATACTGTCCATTGTATACATTTACATAAAAAGCCTGAAAGTATGATCTAAACACAGTTTGCAGAAGAGATAGCACATTATTCTCAAAGACAATGTAAATATTGCAACACACATTTATTTTCCAAGGCTTAGTTTACTGGTATGTTGAGCTGCCCTTAGCAGCCCTTACGTAAGAATTATGCATCTGCTATAAAAGCTTCTTTTTTTATTAACTTGTTAACTTGTTAAATAATGTATAACTTTTCTTTCAGAAATAAAAATTGCTAATTAAAAAAACCTAGAAATGTATAAATCAAATATTCTCAACAGATAGCAACTTAAAGGTTTTTTTTCTCTATATGTTTACTTTTAGACTCACTTGACTGCTTCAAGTGTCCATGGGATGAGTGGCCAAGTCCCCAGAAAGACAGATGTCTCCCAAAGAACAGAGAATTTCTATCCTTTAGAGAACCTTTAGGTGCTGCTCTAGTTGCTACAGGTGTTTTCTCGTCCTTGCTGCCAATTTCCATTTTTGGACTTTTCATTTGTTACAAGAACACCCCAATTGTTAAAGCAAATAACTTCTCTCTGAGTTGTCTTCTTCTAATGTCGATGTCCCTCTGTTTCCTCAGCTCCTTAGCTTTTATAGGTTACCCTCAGCCTGAGAAATGTCTTTTACGACAAGTTGCATTTGGCACAGTCTTTACCCTTTGTATCTCTTGTATTTTAGCCAAAACCTTCATGGTGGTTTTTGCCTTTATGGCCACAAAACCTGGAAGCAGTTTAAAGAAATGGGCCAGACCTAGAGTTTCCTACATAATAATAGCTTTATCCAGCTTACTACAAATAATTTTGTGCATCTTGTGGATTTCATTTGCCCCTCCTTTCCTAGCAGAAAACACTCAAACCCAACCAGGAATTATCATTGTTGAATGTAATGAAGGTTCACCCACAGCCTTCTGGTCCATGTTGGGATACCTTAGTTTCCTGGCCACCATCAGTTTCATTGTTGCCTTCTTGGCCAGAAGACTTCCTGACAGTTTCAATGAAGCCAAGTTCATCACCTTCAGCATGCTGGCCTTCCTCAGTGTATGGGTGTCCTATATCCCGGCTTCTCTTAGTTCCACTGGGAAGTACTCAGTGGCCATGGAGATCTTTGCCATTCTATCTTCAAGCTGGGCCCTGCTGATTTGCATGTTTGTCCCAAAATGTTTTATTATATTGTTCCGATCTGACATGAACTCAAAGCAACATCTCATGGGAAAAATTAAAATATAACAACTCAAAAAGCAGAATCTGGTAATATTCGGTCAGGATTATAATAAAGACTCCACAATTCTTAATGTAAGTCACCATGAGAAGAGTTGACTGATTACTAAATAAAATATTTT